TAAATAACTTTATTAAATAATCTTTGCAGAAAGATAAATGTGCAAATGGAGGCAATGTTTGCGTTTTACTTTATTCAAATCAACTAAAATTAGCTCTCTTTTCATAAAACTTTTACAGAGACAAAGATTTTTTTGATGTGTTCATTTAATAAGGGCACTAAACCCAATCCTTTTTTACAGGTGATGGGGTGCATAACAAATAGCATTTTCTGGGAAATATAATTGACTAATCCTATTATGTCTGTAGCAACAAATTAACCTTATTACTACTAGTAAATGGTGATTGATTATTTACACAAATAAGTTACCATGTTCGGCTTTCTGATTGAAATAAACATATACCAAAAGTGCTTTACTATGACTTGAACTTTTTAATTAATAAAACCCTGAGGGGTCTATTAATTCACTCATTGCAATATTAGTTATTTACTTGTGTAATTCCTATTAGCACTAACATATGTGCTTGAATAAAGATGAGATAATTAATACCAGTAAAAATTAGTAATAGCTTTTACAACTATTTTAAGATATACATTGGATTTGTACCAAAAATACACTTAAAACTGACTTTAAAACTGTTCTATCAGTATATGAATATAATCAGTGGATCAGTGTAATCATTCTAGAATTATTAATATATTAAATAATACATTATTCCATTTATTAGCTACATCTGAATATACACAAATACTATTTTGGCTTCAAAATTCACCTTTTTTGAAGCATTATGTGTCTCAGAATACACTTTTTATTTCCACTCAAAAAGTTACGCTATATTAGAATTATGAACATTTTAACATAAAAATTAGTATTCTATAAACTGTGTTAATATCATTCTAATTTATTGAAATCTTCAATAAAAATAGTGTCCTCCTCTTGCTAAAAATGCTATCAGAATTATTTAAGTAGGCCAACAAAACATTCTCTATCTTAATATACTTCTTAAAAAAATTAGTTACATTTGGATATTTCTGCAGTAAATTTAAAAATATCTGCAGGAAATGAAAGTCAAATTGATGCAATCTTTCAAAATAATAAATAATCTTAAATAATTCATATTTGGCTTTTGTTCAGTGCTTAAATGTGTATTGAATATAATGTAAAATCAAACTTCTTAAAGCAAACAATACAATTAATCTGTAAACAACTGACTCAGAAATATTTTAAAATCTGCAGCTTAATTTCTTCCCAAGAGCTAAGTCATGCCGAGAAAATCAGCAACAGTACTCAGAAGGACGGGTCTTTCACTCTCTGAGTTTTACAGGTTAAGGAAAATTTTTTAGGAAAATAAAACAGTACATGGCAGCAAATTCATACATGGTTGTTAATTTCAAGTGCGGTCACCTACATAAGCTCCACAATGGAAAGCTGGCTATCGACATCCACTAAAAAGATGTTCCAATTAGACTGAAATTAGACGGCTCACTCTGTGTGGCTAGGGGTCACGTCTTGTACATGTTTATATCCCAAAGTCCTACAATGGTACCAGACAGATGGTAACCAAAAAAAACCAAACTCTTTGTCTCAAGTCGATTCCAACTCATAGCAACCCTACAGGACAGAGTAGAACTGCCCCATAGGATTTCCAAGGAGCGGCTGGTGGATTCTAACTGCTAACATTTTGGTTAGCAGCCGTGCTCTTAACCACTGTGCCACCAGGGCTCCAGATAGATGGTAGGTGCTCAGAATTATGTATAAAGTTATTATCTGACATATTTAAAAGTTAAGATTCATATTCATTCTATTTATTGAATGCTGTTTTTGTTTCAGTCAAGATAGTTTATGACTGTGATTTGTAGAATCAATTTTAAAACTCAGTCCTTTTCATACCATGGTGAAAAACAGTGATTTAAAGCAAGTAAAGCGAATCTCCTGGAACCTAGGATCCCGTCAGGACAACAAATTTCCTGATCAAAATACGCAGATGAGACCGGGATGACACCACTATTCCACTGTGTCACCTCATCCCCCTCAAAAAGAAAGACTGCCATGGGAACAAAAGTCTCCAGAGTTTCAAAGAGCTGCTCCTTTATCTCAAGTTCCTTATGATCAAATATTAAGACCACTGTGACAATGTGCACCAACTTGGTAGATCCAAATGAAAATCCCTGATATCCAAGGAGGTGATTTCTGAACGTAATTTTCCCTGTAACGCCCTCGGGTCTATGAAGTCAGCTGTAAAATAGGAAGAAAATACCACTATACAGATTTCTAACCAATTATCATTAATAACTGAAGGAAAACAAAGAAAGGAAAGCATAAGGTGAATACTTCCAATGGCAAGACTGACAGAGGAAAATGAAAGCAAAGAATCTTACTTTATCCTTGACAGGTTGAATTCTAATAATATGATTATTATCATTTACTGAATGCCCTCTAAGGGCCTGGCGCTGCTTTAAATATACAACATTTAATCCTCTAATGCTCTTTCAAGGTGGGTTTTATTATCCCACACTCACGGAGTGAAACGGGGGCTCAGTAGCTCAGAAACCCAAGGTAATCTCCTATCTCCTAGTATTTTACCCTAAGTCAGAGAGCTGGGATGCCAGCTCAGCTCTGTCTGATGACAATGCCCCTGCTCTTTGTACAGTACCACCAAAACCAAACCAAAGCTGTTGCCATTGAGTCGATTCAGACTCATGGCGACCCTATAGGACAGAGTAGAACTGCCCCATAGGGTTTCCAAAGAGCGGCTGGTGGATTCAAACTGTCAGCCTTTTGGTTAGCAGCTGAGCTCTTAACCACTGTGCCACCAGGTCTCCAGTGCACAAAAAGTACCTATCAAACTGCCTGGCAAATGGTAAGCACTCTGTGAGTAGTCAGTGTTATATTATTTTCATTAGTAAAACCACAGAGTCTCTATGGACTTTCTACATTATTCCACTACATACTCAATAGCTAGATGCCCTTAGATAAAACAGAACCATCAAATGTTTCAGCTAAACCAGATTTCACTCTTTGTTAAATTGCTTCTCTATTACACTGTCCAAAAAAACTATAAACACCACAATTAGAACTCTAACTAAGAAAGAGTCATAAGCTGGGAGTTATCAAATAAACAACCGTACCCTGAAAATTCCATTCATATAAGTTTACAGAATTAGAGATACTAATGGCTCCTTAAGGAGCCCTGGTGGTGCAGTGGTTAAGCACTCATTTGCTAATCGGAAGGTTGGCAGTTCGAACCCATAAGCTTCTCTGCAGGAGAAAGATGTGATGGTCTGCTTCCATAAAGGTTACAGGCTTGGAAACCCTGCGGGGAACTTCTGTTCTGTCCTATCAGGTTGCCAGGAGTCAGAATCAGCTCAGCGGTGACGGGTTTGGTTGTTTGGTTAACGGCGGCTTAGTTTCATCAGTTATTTGCTAATAACTGAATATTTAAAAAAAAATAATTCTACAAGGAATTTTTAATTTATAATTCTATATATAAAAACATAGCCCACCAACTGAAAAAGCCAAACTTTTTACTGTCAAGTCAATTCTGACTCATAGAGACCCTATAGGACCGGGTAGAACTGCCCCACAGGGTTTCCGAGGAGCAGCTGGCAGATTCGAACACTTAACCACTGCGTCACCAGGGCTCCAGCCACGCAACTAAAATTTCTACATTGTTATGGATTTTATAATTCTAAATACTTCAACTTTTATTTTTTTAAATTTTCCTTTAAATTATTATTTAAGAATTTAGAATTGAAAGACCTCAGTTTGAGTACCAGGTCAGTTATTACTTAGCTTTGTGTCTGTAACCAGTCACATAATATCTCTGCGTCTACTGTTAAGTGAAGTAACCCAACTATAGAAATCCAAATAAATAATAAGATAGTGATCATTACTGTAGAGTATTATTTAGACAACGAAGTAGAGGCTAGACGCCCAGGAGACGTGACCCAAATGTGCATGACCAGACAGCAGTTAATATGTTTTTTAACTTGGATGCATCAAAGGATGACATTCAGGTGCCCTGGTGACTCAGCGGTTAAGCACACAGCTGCCAAACGAAAGGTTGGAGGTTCGAACCTACCCAGCGGCTCTGTGAGAGAAAGATCTGGCGATCTGCTCCCATAAAGACTACAGCCTAGAAAACCCTATGGGGCAGTTCTACTCCGCCACATGGGGTCGCTGCAAGTCAGAATCGACTTGACAGCACCCTTCAGCAACAACAAGGATGACATTCACTTTGGGGTCTCATCCTCCACCACTGAGACTTGATGTGCCCACATTTGAAGGCATTTGAATATGATACTCTGGGCTAGAACTACGAGACTGGATTTGAAAGTCAGTAAGAAGGAATTAAAAAAAAAAAACCTCTAAATTGCTACATTCCTGACTAGAACTCAAGTAATAAAGCATATCTCAACTCTCAAATTCAAGCTGTTTCAACCTCATTCCTTTTTGCGTAGAATATTATACATGAGATACATTCTTTCTTAGCAACCATGCCAAAATCTGTCACTTTGCCAAGTACTATAAAGTAAATTTCTAAGTGTTCCAAATTCCACATTAACATTTCTATATGAAGATGTGAAGTAAACTGCTGAAGCAATTTTGCTAAAAGCTTTACCTGAAAGCTTCCAATCGAAATTTTGAAAGGATGGGGAAATGCTTTTCATCTCAACATTAGCTCAATTAAAAGAGAAAACATGAAAGCCAGCTCAGCTTAATACTTTGGTAGTTCTTGATCAATTCACAACACAACAATCAGGCACTCAACGCGAGTTTTGAAAGCGAGGTTAGGGCCTTTGTGCCGTGTTCTGACAGGGGCTGACCACACCGCTGACGGGGACCTTTCTGCCAGCATCCCAGCAGCCGCCTCTAAGAAGCTGCTGTCACAGACGAGGCCTGGTGCCTGCACGCCCACAGAGACGCACGGAATTGAACTCCAAATAGTGTCTTTGCAATATCTTTTCAACAAGTCTTGTCCCATTCAGCCTGCTAGTTTATCTCCGTCAGGCGAGGGCCCCAAGTGGCTTACGGGAGCTGTCAGGGGCAGGTAGACCAACCTGTTTTGTGCTGAGGAGGTAATGCATCTTTCGGGCCTGGTGATCTCTTTTCTTCTCTTCCCTTTCCAGGACGGTCTTCTTCTCTTCTCTTTCTTTCATCTCTGCAAACTCTTCCAGTGCCTCCCTGCATCACAACAGTCTGCAGTTATTTACAGTACCAAAAATCTGCTAACGTTTTAACTCTTTCACTGATGAAAATCAAGTCAGTGTTTTGAAGGGCGACTATCATCCACATCCATCAAAATTAGTGGTGTAACATATCTGAGCTGCACAGTCTATACGATCTCTCCAATCTTTAAAAAGCATGTACATGATTTTTCAATTGATTAAACTTTTAAAATCAAATACCTATGTATTATAATTAATTCAATAGCTGGGAAACACTCATATCACATGCAAAGCACTGTTAAGTGAATTTTTACATTATCAGTTTCTGTGGTTGATGATTCGCAATTTTGGACATACGTTTATCCCAAGAAAACATCTCAACTTCCAATTTCCTTTAAATTTGGTTTTATACTTATGGATCTCCAATTCTTTATTTTGTAGTCTAACTAATGATCTAATTTCAAAAGTATGATGGGGTTTAATACACAGAGTTTATTGTCATTTACTTTAGTTAACAGTTTTAGATACCAGTACGATTACATAGATTATTCTGTGCTTAAAAGATTGACATTTTGTTCATTTATAAAAATAATGTAATGTTAAATTAGTTGAATAAGTTCCAGTCTCTTCTAAGTATACTAAATTCCACTGATTAACAAAACCTTTCATCATTAGCGTGTATGTATCTAAGAAATCTAAACCAAAAAAAAGTTTTTAAAAATATACTATATGAAAGACACATACTAAATAGAATAAGATATTATTAAATATGGAAAAAATAACTAGATCATTTCTTTTCAAGGACAAATTTAATTATTCATGTTAAAATAATCCTTTGAAATTGCACTTTACTCTTTTTTTTAAACAAAAAAAAAGATGCATAACTTAGTGTCTAGTGTCATCTGTAAAATCTTAAGTCAGGCATCTGAGCATTGCCTCAAAGATATCAGGGGAGAGTAGAGGAAAATTCCAAAAATTAAGAAAGAGTCTCATACCTACTTTAATCTCTAGAAATACTTTTGTTGCAATTTTCTGTTAAAGGCCACACATATTATACTTCATACAAGGTTACTTATGAAACACACTGACGTTTAAAAATCACCATGCTATGCTATTGCAGCAGAGTAATTTTTTTCAACGTAAGATTAAACTGCAAAATAAATGAATTACTTGGAGTGGCATGGCCCCCATTTTGCCACCCTTCTCTTGAAAATTGCTTATTAATATGAGAAAAGGAGTCAGAAAATAGCCTGTTTTGCTTTATGCATAGTATTTCGGGGGCTTCTGCGCCCACAGAGCTGGGCTAGCTGCACATTTAGATTGTGTTGGCAAGCTGGTACAATGACCTTTCTGACCTGCATCTCAAGGCTATTATTAATCGCTAAGTAACCTGGTAAAGCCAAACAAATTTGTTTCCATTGAAAGGATCTCTATCTGTGTCTGAGAGTTTGTTCTGTACCAAACAAACCTCATTAACTGTGTCCATTTTTGACAAAGAACCAGGAGTTAGAGGGATGGGTGACCTTTCTTTGTCCTTAAGGTACAAATTTCAAGGCAGTTACATACAAATAAATGAGAACTTTTACCAGAAAAAATAACAATCATGTGTTACATAAAAAAGGGAATACATTATTAATCTGAATCTTTACTGTTGGTATTATATAAAACATAAATATTTCCTTTATAATTACTCTTACAAGGCTTTAAAATAAATTGAAATAACCAGTGAAATGCTACTTTGAAAAGAGTCATAAATACATTTATCCAATTTTGTATTACTCCAAAGATAAGTACAATAACTTCTAAGCAATCACAAAAATAATACATCTACAAAGAACTTGGTGCTCTATGAATGATTGCATGAATGTCAAGAAATCTTATATAAGAAAGAATAGCTGTGTGTGTGTGTGTGTGTGTGTGTGTGTGTGTGTGTGTTGTAACAAAGAAGTACATAGTACTGGGATACAAAATCAAAAGTGTAAGTTCTTTGAAGTAGTATAAACAATCCATCTTCAGGCTATGAAAATGCAAAATAACAACAGCTTGTACTTGGGGGACAGGACAAGGAGGTCTAAAACTGGGTGCTAAACAGAAGAATGTCAGTTTCCAGTGTACAAACACAACATATAGGAAACACACAAGAAATAGGAAAGCCCCTGCCTTAAAAAAAAGAAAAAAAAATCTAGAAAACTTGATAGTACACAAAAAACTAATCTGCGATAATCTCAAAGCACAGAAGTATTTAATAAATTCACAAAATTATTGGAAAAAAAATCAATTCTCAGGGTCCTAGATTAGTATAACACTGGAGAGTGTGTGAATACGTTGAACACCTCAGTTATACTTGTGTCAGATGGGCTTTGCTGAGTGACTAGGTAGGAAAAGCTGAATAAATGGTTTGCCTTTGACATACAAGTGTTGGTTACATCAACGGGGATGAAGAGATGGCTCGTGTGAAACCAAAACCAAATCCATCATGAAACACATAACACAAATTACATTCCCATTAAAAGTAAAATGATGGAAACCATTCTAGGATCCCCTACAAAATTATAAAAATAACTTGTTTTTAAATCCTAGAATTTTTTAAATATAGTATTTTAGAAATGTTTAATTTTTTTTCCCAAATACTTTCAGGTTGTTTTCAATATTTTTTTTTTTATTTCAGGTATATTTTCTTATTTCTAGCCTCAAAGGAGAAAACAAGTCCTGTGACACATATGGGATACCAAACTCACTGACACCAAGTCAATTCCAATTCATAGCAAGCCTATAGGTGTAGAATTGCCCCATATGTTTTCCAAGGCTGTAATCTTTATGGGAGCAGATCTCCAGGTCTTTTCTCCCACGGAGCGGCTGGTGGGTTTGAACTGCCGACCTGGTGGCTTAACCATTGTGCCACCAGGGCTCCTCTATATATGGGATACCAAAAAAAGTAATAATAATAACCAAACCCATCGCCACTGAGTCGATTCTGACTCTTAGCGACCCTACAGGACAGAGTGGAACTGCCCCATAGAGCTTCCAAGGAGCACCTGGTGGATTCGAACTGCCAACCTTTTGGTTAGCTGCTGTAGCTCTTAACCACTGCACCACCAGGGTTTCCATAGCTCTTACTAATTTCCTCATTTTATAAATATGGAAACAAATGAAGAGATTCAATGACCTATTCCAAATAACAAATCAAGCAATAGCAGAGAGGGAACTAGAATTCCTAGATTTCCAGATTCTCCAACCCCACACCACGTAGCAGTCATCCTCATATAAGAAATACTATACAGAAAATATTTTTTCTTGAAAATGACCACAGAAGTCTTCTCCTTCCTGTGATTCTGTTGTTCTGTAAACAGTTGAAGAACTTTATATACACCCCAAGGCTTTTTGTACCAGTTTTTATATCTAAAATATTTTGTGATATTAGTTTAAAAATAAAGGTAGAGACTAGTGAAACTTTTGCAAAGCTTTACATATTTGAACGTATTTTGCCAGTGATATTTACAACAATAATAAAATGTTTACAGATTCTAATAATGACAGCAATAATAAAAATAATAGTTGCCACTGGGAGGCAACAGAGGGAGCAGTTAACAGACAAACTCAGAAATAACTACTCAGTTTAAATTCTCTGCTGTGCTATTGACTAGCTGTATAGCCTCTGTGCCTCAGCCTCTTCATCTGTAAAAATGCAAACATATGAGAATTGGTATCTTCCTCATCAAGCTGTCCTGAGGATCATATAAGTTAATCTATATAAAGTACTGAGCAGCGGCTGGCATGCAAATGTTAGCTCTTTATTGAAGGCTTACTATGAGCCAGGGACTAGGCTGCTTGCTTTATCTACTCAACTGGATAAAACATTTTCTGCTGCATTCTCAAATTCCCTCTATGGCCTCCCCATTTCTCTCTCCTGACCAGCACACACTTGGGTGAAATTTTCGCTGCACAGCAGGGAATCTGGCTTCCTAAGAGGCCTGGGGTAAACCTTGACGGATGGGGAATGGGAGACAGAAGGGAACCATGCAGATAAATTGCCCCTTCCTCCGCCCTCCATTCTCCTTGCACACCTGAAGAAAACCTGCTGCATCATGCTGAGTCACTCGAGGACTCTGTGTGAAGCAGTGACCAGGCCTGCAGGAGCCCATCATGTCACCTTCCTCCCTGCAGGACCAGACACCCAACCCTCCAGCAGCCAAGTGCCTTGCTGCACACTGCTCACAGCTGTAGCCCTCTGAGGAAAATGAGCTGCCCTGCCCAGCATTCCGCAACCCCACCCCACATCCAATGACTGGGCATCTGCGGGAGAACAGAGGCCCAGACCCTTGTTTCAATTTGGGGCCACTCTAGAGAGAGATGTGAGTTTCAGGGTCTTCTCAGATTGGCCTCTGACACAGCTCAGCTTCTCCCTCTGCCCTCCTGCCCCCTCCCTTAGAGGTGTTATTCCAAGAATGCTCCCCCCAAAACCTGCACCAATTCGCCACCTCAGAGTCTGCTGTCTTGGATGACCCTTCACAGTCTGCGTTTCCTCACCCATGCTGCCCTGTGCTTGATCCACTCAAAGTATCAGCACTTTAATCCCTGCCTTCTGTTCTGCTTTCAAGAGGTCCCTCGCTAAGACACACATATTACCTCATTTAGTACTCTACAGTCCTGTGGCACAAATATCATCATCCCCTTTTACAAATTAGGAGCTGAGATTCACAGGGGTTAAATCTCTGCCCAACCTCCCACAGCTGGAAAGTGCAGAGGAGGATTTGAATCCAGGTAAGACTCTGTATAATTTTTTATTTCTTTGTTGAAATTATAATTTGTATAAAAGTATTATGAGGCACACCTTCTACTGTCTTTGAAGGACTTCCTAGTGCCTTAAAAAGTATGAACACCCACAATTTCCGAGGGGGCTGCTAACAAGACTACATTCCTGAAATGAAAACCAAACGCCGTCACCTACACCGTTTTTAAGAAAAAAGATTCTGAGGAAATAGATTTGAACAACTTTCTAGCGCCTTCAGTACTTTTTGAGGACCGGTCGTCAGTGACATGCTTCTGTTGTAAGAAATCTTCAAAATAAAAATAGCTGCACAGCCATATTTTCTGCTATGGTACCTTATGACTTAAGAGTAGTTAAGTGGAATTTATCATATGTATTTACGTTTAATCTGACAATTTTCTGCGCTCAATATGTCCATATTAATTTAACCAAATAAGTAAACAATAAAAGAAAAAAAAAAGATAGGGCTAAGTCTAAAATTCAAGTAAAAATATCAACTACAAATAAAACAATTATATGCTTAGACTGGGTCCGTGACATCCAAAACTATTTTGAGAGTGAGCCGAGGTCATTTGCATTAAGAACAAAAGATTCACTTTAAGTCAGTCAAACCCTTGAAACCACTTATTTTATCCCCCTTATTTTGCTCCCTGGTTACCTACTACCTGGACAGGTGCTGCAAATCGCGTGAGGGTGGCAGGCTGCAACCGAAACTACCGATTAGAACCAAGCATTCTGCAGCGCTCAGTCATTCACACTGAGACCGACCCTGAGTTCCACACCTTACTCTGCAGACGCGAACATTAGGGAAACATTGAGAAAGGTCCTCTCATACATCTTTAGTTACTGCTGAAAATGCCTTATTTGTTACAGTATAGATCAGTTTCTCTTGAAAATGTCTAAGTATTTTAACAGTTACAGTCCTGAAGATAACATTCATTCATTTATTCTGTCAGGCAGTCACGAGTGTGCTTTAAAAAAGAAAATTAAAAGAGATAAAGAGGAAAAAAAACAAACAAACCTTGTTCCTGCCTTCAAACAACTTGCAAACAAAAGCAGTAATAACTAACTGGAAAATAGACAATAAGTCTATGCAATAAATTCATATGCAGTGCTGTGGTTCTGGGAGCTTAAACCCGATTAGAAAGGCTTCATGTAGGTGGTGCCACTGGAGACAGGAATCGAACAACAAGCAGGCAGAGAGAGAGGCAGAGAGAGAGAGCGGGGGTGGAGAGCAGCGGTACTGAAATGAGGCCAAATAGTTCACAAGAAACTCAGGCCCTCTTTTGTAGACTTTGGCCACCAGCAGCAAAGGGGAGAAGTGCATGTGCTGTAGAAGCAAGGGTTCCTGGCCATGGGTGAATGGGCCCTCTAAGGGAGATGCCAGCAAATTCATAAACCATACAGACTAGATATTTTAAGAATGGAAGAAGTAAAAAAGAAGATAATGGCCGATGTTATAAAATTACAGTACCACGACTTCACTCTGATCACAGAAAGGGATAGTCCAGTTGCTCCATTGTTTCATTTACCTACTTTGCATGATTTTAAAAAGCAGTAAGACTCCATTCAAAGATCATTCATGAAAATCATTTTTTTTTCCTTCTTCTGACTCTTTTGAATCGACTTAGCCGAAAAGGATTTTTTGTACAGTGTTCTTTCTAAAATTCACGGTAAAATTATTTTCTTTTTACTATTCTGGATAATTTCTGTAAAACGGAGTAGAATTTTATACCATATATACCAAGTCAAATAATTAAGAGTAACACGCAGCTAAATACAACAATAGGCATAATAATAAAATGGATTTACACAGGGCATTACTTTTCAGGGGCTCCAAGTGCCTCAGAACACCCAGTAAGGTTGAGAGTAGGGCAGGTATTATTAACAAGGTCCTTGTTCTTCGTGAAACGAAATGACTTTACAGATGGTGACTCTGAGACACAGCGTCGGGGCTGTCCTGTATGAGGTAGATCAAGGCACATCGTATTCTCTCCCATTTGCATGCCTTCGTAGAGGTTCAGCAGTACTTCAATCTCCTGAATTTATGCTCTGGGTAGAGTTCAGAGATAAGGTGGCTAAAGGTTCTATTTCATATGAAAAGAATTGCATGATCTTATTTCCTTTGTGTTTACTCAAAAATCACACATTGTCTCTCGTTTAAAACGTGTTAACCTCATTTGAAGCAAAGACATTTGCAACTGCCTTTGCACAGGACCCACTTGGTACAGTCCAGGGAGATGTCCAAACTGCTCTGGATGTTATTGTAAACCAATAAACACACTGTGGGAAGACGGCGACGTATTCTAAAACAGTACGCCGCACGTAGCTTCAGGAAACACCTGAGTTTGGGGAAAATAAGCGATCAACTGCTAACTGAAAGGTCGGTGGTTGGAACCCACCAGCTGCTCTGCAGGAGAAAGATGTGGCAGTCAGCTTTTATAGAGATTTACAGCCTTGGAAACCCTATGAGGTCGCTATGAGTTGGAATCGACTCTACGGCAGTGGGTTAGTGGGTTATTGATTAAATTGTTGCTTTATAACAGATCTTAAAAATCACTTCCATGTGAATGCCAACAAAATCCTATTCTGTTTATACCATTATAATTCAAGTATTTATTTTGGGTTAGCTTAATTCTTTCTTTTTAACAGCTTTATTGACATATAAGGTCCCTGGATGTCGAAAACAATTTGCACTAGACTACTAATCTAAACTTTGGTAATTTGAACCCACCCAGCAGTGCCCTGGAGAAAGGCTAGGCAATCTGCTCCTATAAAGATTCGAACCAAAAACAAACCTGTTGCCATCGAGTGGATTCCGACCCATAGCAACCCTGTAAGACAGAGTAGAACTGCCCCATAGGGCTTCCAAAGAGCAGCTGGTGGATTCGAACTGCCAACCTCTTGGTTAGCAGCAAAACCCTTAACCACTGCGCCAGCTATAGCCATGAGAACCTTATGGAGCAGTTCTACCGGGCAACATGTGAGGTCACATGCTTTGGCACAGAATCGACTGCAACGGGTTTGGTTTTTCAGCTCTTCCTGAGATACAGCTCACATACCATACAATTCACCCATTTAAAGTGTACAGCTCAATGACTTTTAGTAGACACACAGATACGTGCACCCATCACCAGTGAGTTTTAGAACATTTTCATCATCTCGAAAAGAAACCCTGTACCCTTCAGCTATTGCCCCCCCTTACCCTCTAGTCTCCTTCAGCCATAGGCAACCACTAATCTACTTTCTGTCCAGCTGAATCTTTATACTGAGACTACCTCTACGTTGTAATCCTGTGGTTTACAGTTTACACGTTTCTAGGACCTCTAAGTCATCTTTTATTACAGAGCCCTTAAAGAGAAGGAAATGAAACACATCTCCATGATTAGATTTGTCATTTTGGCAAGATTATTATGGCAACAGTAAGGAGAATAGAGGGATGAGGAGAGACAAAGAGATCCAGACAAAGGATTGTTAGGTCTTGGTGACGAATGGAATGGAGGAAGGGAACTTTAAAACGATTCCCCTGATTCCGGCTTGAGGGCCTGAATGTAGGATGGTTCACTTCTCCATAAGAAGGGTAAGAGGTTTTAGAAAATAATGATTTTATACACAAACATGCGCAGCTTGAGGTGTTGAGGTGAGCGGTCGTTTGAAGAGATGGTCGTGGTGATCAGGAGAGAGCTCGGGGCTGGAGAAGAGTCAGATTTATGAATCATCAGGATATAAACGGTAGCAGAAGTCACAGAAGTAGGAGGCACTGCCCACAGCATGTACAACGAAAAGGCAAGTGCATCAAAGGGAGAACACTAACATTTAAGGTCAAGCAAAATAAAGGTGAGTATGCGAGGAAGTAACTGAAGAAAAAAACATCAGAAAAGTAGAAAGGAAACCAAGAGAGCGTAGCTTCAGAGAAACCAGGTTACAGGAGCGATTAGAGACGTGGTTAACAGTGCCATGTGCTCAGAGAGGTCAAATAATATGAAAGCCAGACAGTCCACTGGATAGTACTGTAAGTAATTTCTTAGCCATAGTTACATTTTTAATACAATTTCATAATAATTTAAACACATCTTCAAGTTTGAATTAAAAAGTTTGTATTTCATTAACATGTCGAGCACCTGCATATGATTTCCACTGTATGAATCTAGTCTCAATCAGCAATATAAAAATTAGCATTCCTGGCCCTTATCACAGAATTTAAAAAAGGAAATATCTTTCATCCATCCCCTATCAAAAATCAAAATATCAGCTAAGAGAAGTAAAAGATAAGGACTTCAATTTATCCATTCCTCTAAGTTGGTCAACTCCAAGGCTAAGTCCATGAACCGACATATTTTAGTCCCTTGCTTTCAAATGAATAACATTTTAGTGCTATTCTCTGGGATTTTGGTTTTTCTTTTTTTTCAAAGACCACTCCAAAAAAAAAAATGGAACTTGAAATTCAAACTTTTACTGTTAAAAAAAAAAAAATTACTGAAGACATTGTTCATCACATTAACTCAGGGCCTCCTACTGAAGATTCACATCTGAAATCTCTTGTAGAAATCAGTGCTAGAAAAAGCTGTTTCTTGGCAGATGCAGTAATATTTTCTCCATTTTCAAGATGGGAAATACTTAACTAATCGTACTCCCTGATCAGTAACACTTGAGTTATCTTACTTGTATTTCCCTTTACCATGGTCCTATATTTTTACTCTTTTCTTGTGCAACTTTTTTGTAAATTGCCTCGAATTCATTATGGAAAGAAAAAAAAACTGAACAAATATATGTATATATACATAAAGAAATTATATCCAACTGAATAAGCTTTTTCCTTTTACTAATTTCTTCTTAAGAATGATGCTTTACCCCCTTTTTTCATATACTGTGCTCTTAAACTTTTTTAAATAGTGAATTGCTAAAGATAGTGTATTATTATACAAAAATAAATACAGTATATTAAAAGACTGTGATCAAATAGTTGATATTCAATATTTTAATGTGATTATATAGATTATGTCGTTAGTTACTAATTATGAATAAATAACAGAATGTTTTTAAAGCAAAGAACATATGCTGTATTTTAAGTTAGACAATCTGGCATGTATTATTACCTAAAGTCTACCAAACTAATTGCTGTAATTATTGTACCCTCATACACAGAATGAATCTTCAGGGGAAAAAAACACAGTTACATATATAGCTAATATTACAGAATAATTTGTTTCTTGAAAACTACTACGTTATTTTCTCTGCGTCTTACAAAGAGCCTGTTCTCTAGATACTATGAGATAAAGCTAAACTGCTATCATTTAGTTGGCTGAGATCAGAATATCATATTCTTAAAATGAAGTTTATTGAAATCTTATCTTTAGGTGATCATATTTATTCTCCGTATTTACACACTATCTATGGTGTTCCCTATGTCCTTGAAATAGGGAACAGGGACCCTTAGTATGAAAAAGTGGCCTAACTGTGCTGGAGTTCGTAAATTTTGTTCAGCTTCGGATGAGTTCAAAGAATTGCCATGTAAGAAAAGCCTTACAGAGGGGATTTATCTGATTACGGCAGTAATAATTACCCAGCTGTTTATTGCAGATAGAGAAATAATTCATGTAGGCAATAGGCCGTGTTGCCAATGACACTCTGCATTTAGTAAATATGCAAACTGTTCACTTCTAATTAACCAAGCTAGAGGATGCCCTTATTAAATGGATAAACTAAAAGTGCCTTCCTGACAAGTGATGAATTGTTAGACTGCACAAACTTTTGCCACAGAATTATTGGAGTGAACTTGGAGCTTAACTTCAATAAGAGATCTTGTGGGATAGTGAGATGAGGGTGGACTGACTGACAAGGCCTACCCGACAGCCAATGATATGTGAGCGCTCAATGAAACTGCACCTTGTCTTCTGCCCGGCTCAGGGGTTCTGATTCACAATAGACAAACTGTAAAACTCAGAGGTTAATTTGAGTTTGACTAATAAAAATAAATGAAACAACATGACAGCCACTTTAGGGAGGCTACCTAACAGCTTACCTACTGAGTGAATCTACAAAACAGCCCATATTTTATGATGCAAGTATCTTTCACACACCCAAAGCTGAAAAACCATCACTCTTTTCCCTTACCTTTAAAACAATTTGTTTAATAAGAACAAATGGTCTTGCTGACTAGCTTGAAAATAAAACATCTTTCAAAAAGTAAATGGATAGGTTTTATTAAAGAAAAACACCACATTAAGAAATTAATATTAACTTTAAATGAATTTTACTTAATTTTATAATAAATCAATTATGAAATATTTCATTGTCCATATTCTATACTTAGCTTTATTCTAAGGTAGGGGCAGTGGTTAAGAGCTATGGCTGCTCACCAAAAGGTTGGCAGTTTGAATCCCCCAGCTGCTCCTTGGAAACCCTCCTGGGGCAGCTCTACTCTGTCCTGTAGGGTCGCTGTGAGTCAGAATTTTCTCAATGGCAACAGGTTTGTTTTTGTTTTTTTTAAGGATCTTATCAAAGATATTCCTGTGAGGGAACTCCCAGATATAAGAAGCAAAACTAAAATATTTTTATTTGATGGTAGAACAGATCGTACTAATGCACAGGGCTGTTGGGAAAGTTAATGGAGATAATGTGTATAAGGGGCTTAGTACAACACTTGGTATACAGCAGTGCTCAACATAAGTTAGCAATTTTAATGTGTTTGAGTGACAATTGCTCTTTTCCCCTAAAATAGTAATTCCTACTGTTTTGTTATTAGAATATATTTTATTTCATAATATTATTTCTTCTACTACTTGTTGCTTTCAGTTGCCCTTGAGTTGATTCTAACTTATGGCGATCCTATGTATGCAGAGTTGAACTTCTCCATAGGATTTTCAAGGCTGCGACCTTTTGGAAGCGGATTGCCAGGTCTGTCTTCCAAGGCACCTCTGGGTAGGTTCGAACTGACAGCATCTAACTGTTTGCACCTCCCAGAGACTCCAGCTTCTACTAATCCCTCTACAATAATTTAATGATC